TGATGATGATGATGATGATGATGATGATGATGATGATGATGATGATGGACTTTGGATGACGTTGGTGGGCTTTGTCTACCGTCCATTTCCACAAAGCCCACCTGCTAACACATGCTAACACTACCATTCAGCCAGGCAATTCTCAACACACCATGGGCATGTGCAAAAACGGCACTTCCCAAAACACTTCATCTTTTAATTGTGTATGCCCTGAGGCTCCAGGACCATTTCTGAAAACCTCGTAAGCCAGGAAGGGTATAATATGGGATAATTGATATACCATACAATGACAACCTTGAGAGTAGATGGCACAGACCCCAATGTCGGTGGTTTATATGAAACTCCATGTAAAAGGACGTCTTGAGGTCTGTGCCATCGAACCTCTGAAACCACTGTATTCCATTTGGGATGATTTCAAGGGCCGATGCATGGCATCCATGTGTCGTCGGACCTCCGACTGCACGAAGTGGGTGAGGATCTTCAAGTCCATGGTGGCACCCAAGTTGTCCGAGTTGGACACGAACATGTACCTCCCCATTGGGACGACGATGGGACTGGAAGATAGAGACAGTAGAATCAGATTAGATTAGATTAATCAGATTAGATTTAGCTTAGGTTAGGTTGGATTAGATTGATAATGATAAATAGCCATTGTATGCCTACACGGATCCCTCAAACCATCCCGATGGAGATAAATATGTCAATTCCTCTGAAGTGTCTGGGTACACTGGGTACACAACCCGCCACAGGTAGACTGATGGAAAGGGGGTGTCGAGGGTTTGTCTGTAGAGCGTTCATACTCGAGCCTTTCACAACTTACTCCAGTGGCTGTAGCAAGTTGCACGAAGTTCTTGAAAGCGAAAAGTTCTGACCACAGTGACACCTAATCGCAAAAGTCCGCGGGCCATTAGGCACAACTTCAGCTCTGTTTAAAGGAATTCCTAAGATTCTTAAGACCTCTTAAACCAACCTGCTGCCTTTCAAAGTGCGAGTCAGGACGGTCAGCCTTCGACTTGCTTGTGTGGCGTATCTTAAACTCGGGGCTGGGTCTGTGACTCGGTATGGGCAAGTGTGAAGGGTACAAGAAAAGGAACGGTCATGAAGGTTTATAGGGGGTGTCATATATTTATAAAGTAGGTGCAATATATTTAATACGCCTCGGAATCCTCGAGCCTTCAATTAAGGTGCTTTTGGACACAATCATTTCATACCCAAGCAGAGTTCTTTTCTTCGTCGCCCGGCTCACCTGTAGCCCTTCTTCAGCAGCTTGTCCAGCCTCGGCTGCGGGCAGGTTTCACTGCAAGCCTTCTTAAAAAGGGCACACAAATTGTGAAACAAAAAGTTTCCAAAGGAGCTGCAAATTCATAGATATAGAATATGAACTATGAATGCTATGAATGAGTATGATACAGTATGATAAACAATATCTAAATAAATACTAGAAAAATAACAATATATAACATATATATAGACAACTGAAGGGAGCAAGCTGGCTTCGGCCCCCAGTTTCCCCGATGGAATGGTCCTCCAACCAGGTGGATATGGTGGTGGGCTTGCGGTCTGATGTTTTCGGTTAGCTAATCGTTTGCCAGTACTCTCCACCATCCCCCACCATCCTCCAAAATCATCTTCCAAGAACGAGTCACCATAGCTCCACACCCAGTTCACACCCGTTATATTGTCCAAAGCAAAAACACATCCTTCACGCCTGCGTCCACCCGCGTCCTTCCGGTGTCCACCGGTGGGACCGGACAGTGCTGCGGGAACCCCGGCGTGCCGCTGCCCAGCATGGCAGGGTACAGATCGCCGTGACCCGGTGGGCACCATTCGTGGGAGGAATCCTTTTCGGAACGAGGGAACGGACCGCCGATGCGGAACGGAACTCCGATGCGGAACTGGGCCCGGAACTGGGCCTGTTTGGACCCGAAAGAGACACACCACTGAAGAGTTGGGGTTCCAATCCGCCGACCCCACACCGTGGGGTGAGGCGTGACTGTCGATGTTAGCCTTAGCCTTAAGCCTTAGCCTTAGCCTTAGGCCTTATCCTTAGCCTCAGACCTAGTCCTTGGCCTTAGACCTAGACCTTACCTCCCCTACCCCTCCGGACCCTTGTTGCAGTGACGAAATCCTGCCCTAAAAGCGACCGGATGGTGACCTGGATTGTCCAAGAATCTGCCATCCCAATTGATTTACATCTTGGGGCACCCTCTCGACCCGCGCGGGAAAATAAGCACGGTCCAAAATGGTCCTGGGCTCGAATCCCTGGCTGGTCGCGGCATGGTCCCGGCCAATGCCCTTGCTTTTTCGTAGATTTTGTCACGTTTTCTGTTGGCTTATGAGATTTTCAAAGGCTTTTCTGGCATTTTCCTAGGAATGCTCTAGGCTTTGTCTTTTTGGGTACCTGCTTTGGTGGTGCTGGGTTGGGTCTAAATTGGTAAACCTGGGAGGTACCCAAAAAGTCGACTTTTTGGGTACCTGCTTTGGTGGTGCAGGGTTGGGTCTAAATTCTTGGGCAATGATCGGGGTTCATGCAAGAGCTGACGTCCGATGGTAAATCTGGGAGGTACCCAAAAAGTCGACTTTTTGGGTACCTGCTTTGGTGGTGCTGGGTTGGGTCTGCACTCTTAAGGCTAAGGCTAAGGCTTAAGGCTAACATAGAGCAAGGCTAGCGCTAAGGTTCTATCCCTTGGGGGTCGGCGGCTGCAGGCGGTAGCCTGGTAATATTTATCGATCAGTTGGGGTGGTTTACGGGATCTATTATCTATTCTATCTAATATACACGGAGTGCGTGGAATATACTGTATGCACTGCCACGAACACATCCACATGGACGTGGAGTTCACCCCCGCTGTTTCGCACAGCAACGTGGTCTTCCCAAGGCCCAAGGGCCATTGTTTTACTGACATCAATCCTCACTTCCATGTTATTACAGTGGTAGGTCAGAGTTTGTTAGTAAAGGTTGTTTCTTTTAAAAACATGATAAACATTGATTGACTGTTACAAGCGGGAGGGTTAAGTTGCACATGTCGGCATGAAGTCACATATCCCCCATGGGCACAGTCACCCTCCTCGCGAAAAGTCACCCAGAAAAAGTGAGAACCCCATGGGCACAGGTTTCGCAGGGACATGTCATGGGACACACACTAGTCGGAGTGTATATCTGTGGGTCCTGGATGATTTCTCCCCCAAACTCGCACGAGCGCGAACGATGTCGCCTTCTCCCAGCTGGCGGGCGTCAAATCGCTGGCGGTGACCTTGGGAGCCTGGCTGGTGCCGTTCTCCCAGGTGGGGTGGAGAACGATGTCTCCCGCGATGGCTCCGGCGATGGATGCACTCGTGAAGAACTGCTTTAACTTAAATTCCGGCTTGGAGGGGTGGCACAGCAGGACAGCGGGACATAGATCTTGATTGGATTGGAGGGACTCTTCCAAGAAGTTGTCGTAGTTTCTGGGTTCTGCACTTGTCTTACTTGCATTTCTTGGGGTCAACGGTCAACTTGACCAAGAATATCAAAAACACATCAAAAACATCACGGCGTTCTTCCATGTCTTTCCCCAAGGTATATAAATATCTGTTCAGCTTCTTTCACACGATGTTGGGCCATGCATGGCGAAGTTCCATGAAGGCGAAGTTCCGCCCCACGCCTTGTTTTGCACGAACTCCAAGTCTGACCTGAAAGCTCCAGGGTGTCAACATGTGTTCTTCCTATTACTCAATCCACCACTCTGCAGGTCGAGTCTTGCGCTGCCGCAACCAAAACCCAGCCACCCTGCCAGGCCAAGACCAGGCACAAATACAAACGCAAGCAACACCCAACCATGGGCGTCCCGTGTCTTGCAACCGGCGTGCTACACGATCACAACACGATCGACCCACCCCGCCGTCGATGGACGATCGACACGTTTGACGTGTCGTGTGATGTCCTTCCTGGGCGCTTCAGACCCAGTGCCCAGATCCGTGTACTTCTTCAAAGCCTCCAACCTTGGTGACTGGTCTGTGGGCGTAGAACAAGCACGGCGAACGCCGCGGACCGCGGGCTTTTTTCCGGTTCCCGGGATGCTCGAAGTCATGCTGTGGGTGACCTGGGGATGCTGTGGGTGGGAAGTCGAAGTCGTGACCGACTAGGCCCAACGAGGCCATCGGTCTCACATGACGTTGGCCTCATGACATGTCGATCTCCAAAATGGTGGGCCTCATTCGTCCGAAGAAGGATGAAGAATAGGGAGAAAACTCTGGAGTGTGCTGTATAGTGTGTATACAAGAACATGAACACATGATGGCATGATGGTCATCTTAGATTGATTGGTTGGACTAGTTTCACCGATTAACCAGTAATCTAGACCAAGCTTTTATCTGGCCTCTGCCTGCTCTTCCAGCAGTGTCCGGTCCCCCCAAAACCTCTTGAACCGGTGCACCGTTCCCGCACCGTTCCTCGCTTAAGGAACAACACCGTCACATCGACGTCTCGCCGAGGCTCGTGTCAGCAGATGTGGCGAAGGAGTTCCTGTGGCGAAACGGGGCTCGGCCGCGACTGGTGCGGCCTGACCCGTTCGTGTTTTCCACTCGAACTCGAAGCGAAGCGGACGGAGCAAGGGCTCTTTTCGGGCGTGTCTTCGCCCTGAAAAAATTCAGGTCGACCGAACGTTCCATCGGTTTATAGTGACTTTAGTAATTTAGTGGATAAATGAATCGTTTCGCAGGTTATCCACTGGCTGGGCAGGACAACTAGGGCCAATAAAATAGTGTTATTGTTTTGGTTGGTGTTTTCAACGCTCTTGTAAACATATGTATATAAATTATGTATAGTCAATCATCTCAAGGTTGAAAGTTAAACACATCTGAAACCACCACCCAAACCCAAACTGCTCCCTTTCTACCTCGACGCCATTCCCAAACAGCATGTGGCCAGTGTGTTCAACGACACCTGGTGATAAACGGTCAGCCCTCTGTCCAAATGTTGAGAAATCTCCATCTGAATCAACGTTGAGCTTTAACAACCGAGGTAGGCTCTGTCTGTCTCCTCAATCGCATGGAAACAACATGACACTGAGCATCTTCCTCGCATGGAAGCAACATGAAGCAACCTTGTCTGACGCAAACATGGAAGAGTATGGAAGAGTGGGTTTCATCTGCAATGGATTAACCTCCAGTGCCTCCAGCATCCATGATCGGTGGAGAAAAGCGGTGCGGAAAGGGAGTTGTTTTTTCCACCCGTCTGCCAAAAACCCCGTGGCCATTGTTGTAATTCGCTTGTGACACCATGAATCCCTCAAGCCCTCCCAAGGTAGGTAAATATTCCAATGGAGTGTCTGAGAGGTCCTAGTGGGCTCCCCACCGGTGCCCGGCCGACCTGGTCTTAAGATGTCTTAAGTGTAACCCAAACTCACGGTGACTTGTCACGAAGTCAGGACGAGCTGCATTAGCATAAACTTCAGATCCGTCTTGAACTCCTTCTTCATCCAAGCCACCTGAGGTGCCGCCGTGAGATGCCGTGAGGTGCACTTGGGATCCAGGCGCCGGTGCCAAACCGAAGAAACACATGAACACATATACCAGGACCCTCCAAAGTGTGCCCATTGGAAGCCTATAGGTAGTGTGGGGTAGTCCAGCCAGGACACCCCGACAGGACGGCCCAGGTAGAAGCACTGCCTACACGTAAAAACCGCTGCTTTTGCCGGGCGGGCTAGGGGGTCACCTGGCTGGACAACCCATCTCCCACTTACGCACCTCTCCCAAAAGGAAGCACATCATGTCTGTCGGCGGAGACGAGTCGATTTATAATGATATCACATGATATCACTCATAAGATCATGTCTACCGGAGCATAGGAATGGTTGGTGGCTATCAAGTCTATATGATATCATGAATAATTCATATCATGTCTACCGGAGCGGAGACGCTGACTTTCGACCGTGATCGATCGTGCACACCCTGATGATCGGGCTCCGGTGGACAGGTCGACCGGCGCCGCGCCGGCTCCGGTGGACGACCGGAGCGGTCGCCTGCTGGGCGATGAGGTCCAGGAAGGTGTTGCCCTCAGTGACCTCGAGACGCCCGGTGGAGAAGTGGAGTGTCGTCGACCCGACCACGGATGCTGACGCATGACCCGAGGACGGCACAAACACCCGTTTCGAGTAGGTGTCCAATACATTTTTGAGTGGTGATCTACGCACTTCTATATCTATGAATGGTCGATAGATTTTGGCAGGCCTACAGTGCCGAATCGCCGAAAAAAGAAGGTCTTCCTTGATCGAGTGCTCTTTCAGCAGTTGTCATGGGCGAGTCAGCCGACGCGTCGAGTCCTCCCACGCTCATCCAAGGTCCACGACCGTTGATCGCCCACCGAGCATCGGGTTGGAAGTCCACGCGGTGCGTGAAACGCATCGTTTCGCGTGTCGTGTTGGTCGCACCTCCAGAAGGGACTTGGCCTTTTCCAGGCCTGGCACGGAGCTTTTGTTCGAATCTGGCTGCCACAAATCGAGCTCATCCAGTGGATTGGAAAAACCATGTTGAAACAATTTATTCAATTTATTCTGGCGCGGTGCTAGTGGTGGGAGTCTAGAAAGTTTGGAGTTCAACGGAGCTGGGAGGACTTCAAGCCTGTCTTCAAGCCTGTCTGTAGTTCAACAACTTACAGTATCCTTCAAGCCTTCGAGAATCGGCTCTGATTGATAGTTCTTTTGAAAAAGAGAAGGCCAGCACTGCCCTGCCAGGTTCCTATGCCCGACTGGAAGCCATATATATCTTTGAGAATGGTATGGATCCACTGATATCACGAAGCTTGGCAAAAACAACTCTTGACATCTACATGTTCCATCCATCCAATCAATTCAAAACAAGGAGCTGAGCCCATGTGACTCCTATAGACTGCCCCAAGCTGCGATCTCTAGATCTCAACAAGTAAGGCTGGCCCATGCCGGTTCCCAAGCCGCCATTGAGCTTCAAGATCAAGGTCTTCTTCAAGAGCCTCGAGAGGCTCAGCCCACACATGGAAGCACAAGAACACTCCTCAAGAATCCTCGTGGGGCCACTTCCCTATCTTCAAATTCAATGAGCCTGCTGCCTACTAGCTACTATAGTGCTCTTAAAACTCCCAGAGGCCTCATTTACCAGGTGCGTGTCGACATGCCTGGCATCGGGCTTCACCTTGAGCTTCTCGAAGGTCGGGAGAGACTGGCGCGAGACCGGCCACAGACCGCCCGAAGGTCCCGGACAGTCCGGGAAGGCCGTAGGGGGAGGTGGGCATCCTTCCGATCCCCAGCCAATCCCCTCCCCAAATCGCACGGCTCTGTTTCCTGCAGCCTTTTTTGCTGCTCTGTTTCAACTGGATGGGAAAAAGGGTCTTCAATGGGTCCATAGATATCGGCGATATCGCCTCAGTTGGACCCAGGCACTTGATCAGTTTGGAGACCTACCTGGACCATGGGGAATGCTACATCATCTTGTTTTGTTGGGACCAAAGCTCCTGAACCGGGTTGTCATGAGGATCCTCCTAAAAAAGCGAGGGCAAAGCACATGCGCCATCCTGCACATCGGCAAAGGAGCCGGTTGTTCTTTACAAAGACTCACGCCTTGTCTTATCTGACACACTTAGCGCAACGAAGACACATCATTCAGGAATTTATCCTATTAATAAGTATAGCAACCACCTGTATCGTGTGTCCTAGTAGCGTCCTTGCTCCTAATAGCGATGCCTTTTGCCCCGTTCGTAGCGTCCGATCGCTCCGTTCGTAGCGGTGCCAGGAGCCTCTAGTAGCTTCTTGTTACTAGTGCGATGCTCAAATCCCCAGAAGCGGCTCCGCCACCGGGCCCCGTGCATCCACGGGGTCCAACTTGGACTCGGGCAGCATCACATCGGCGCCTAGTGAGGCATTCGTCGGGTGAGCCCGACGAAGGACGGTTCCCAGACCGCTCCATAGGACTGGAAGAGTGAGTGATTTGGGTCATGTGTCATGGAGTAAACACATGGATGGTCTGGGGTTATGGCCTGGGATGCTCGTCCAACGGAAGGACATGAAGATGTATGACTCTTCGACGCAGGACTCCATGTGTGGTCATGGGCCCTGCACTTGAGCGCCCTTCTTCCTAGTAGTAAGAATGCTACCCTTTGTTCCTAGTAGCTTCTTGCTCCTAGTAGTAAGGCCAGGAGCCCCTAGTAGCTTCTTGTTCCTAGCAGCGATGCCAGGAGCCCCTAGTAGCGTCCTTGCTCCCAGTGATCACATCTGAGTGGAGAATGTGAACTTCTCCAAAAAGGAGCTCTCCACCTTACATGGCTAGCTTTCCGTGTCGCAAGTGCTGCATAGCCCTTCCATCAACTGCAATTGGGAGCTAGAGTCTTTGTGGATCTGCCTTGGAGGACTTACTGCTGGATGGTGTTAAAATCATTGGAAGGGCACAGCAGGTAGTTGACCTCTGCATTCGATGTCTTACCCTAGGCACCTCCTCAGAAGGTATTTACACATTCGACTTCCCAAATTCGATGTCCTGATGCCAGCACCCCGTAGTTGTACTTGAAGGCATCAATGGCCGCCTGATTGCAGCCCTCCTGAGGGAAGGACGACAAAAACGAAACAATTGGAAAACTGGGTGTGGCTTTCTTGACCCATATCAACACACACCCTGTGATCCTATACTTTGTTTACATTTAAGACTTTGTGTCTCAGGTTCGGTCCTTTGCTATACAGTAAAACAAAAGCGGGGCTGGTTGGTTTAAGTGTGCCAAATCCAACGCTCAAAGAACATGTTCACTACAGTGGTAGAGGTGCAAACTCACGAGGGAGACCCATGGACATGCGGATCCTGAACATCTGGCAATGTCAATTGGCTGCGCTTCTGGATGTTTGTTCTCCATCTCCCTCCCTCCTTCTCTCTCTCTCTCTCTCTTTCTTTCTTGCTTGCTCTGAGTTGCCGATCTCTTGTCCAAGGACTGCTGCAACCCATCTAATATAGCAGGCAGTCCAACAAAAGACTATTCAAGGGCTGACTCAAGGTCAGCAAGCCATTTCACAGCCACGAGTTTGATGCAAACCAAACACGGGCGCAACTGAGCAGCAAGCCTGCAGGCTCAACATCAGTTTCCGTATAGTTTCTGGATCACTTTGAGGTAGACAGGCCATTAAAATCCCAACTGACTAGTTCACTTTCACGGTACGGCGGGCAGGGTGCCCGTTCTTCTTTGGTCTTCAGACACATGGCTCTCGTCTCCGCCGTCCGTCCTTCTCCATCTTGCTCTCGTAGGCTGGCCACACGTCCACCATCTTCGATGGGCCAACCTGGTGACGACCAGGCTCGACCCACCGTCGTACGACCAGGTGACGACCGGCTATATCAAGCTTGGTGATTCTCCGTCATGCCCACATGGTGATTGAAGTATCCTACATGTATACCGTGTCAAAACAATATATATATATATTGTGATATGACAATTGACAATTATATATATATATAGCTGATCTAACACTTGGGTCACCAGCTTGGCTTCACACTCCGAGTTCTGATGTTTCTGATCAACTTCGCTTTTCGCTGTAAGAAGTGCTTAGGATTGAAGGAGGCGCCCCACCGTCTTAACGATGTCCATGAAGGAGGGCTTCAAAGAGGCGCCACCCACCAAGAAGCCTGGCCGAAAGGTTCGGAAAGGCGTCTTCTCGCGGAAACTACACCTTCCAACGACCCCTTCCCGCGCCGGTCTGGCGAACCTGTTTTCTACCGCCTACAAACGGTCGTTTCAACTCACTTAGTCAGTGGCTTCGAATCATCCCAAGAAGGTTGAACATATACATTTAACCACCACCTAGTCCTTAGTTGTGTTTTGTTTATGTGTGTGTTTTTTTGTTCTTTTGTTTGCGTGTGTGTGGAAGGCATGAAACACCGCTCCAAGTTCCAGCGGATGCTTTTGGATCGGTTCCAAGCATCGCTCCGAATTGCGGATGGCCGACCTTGGAGTGTTCAACGCCCACCAGCCCAGCCGCCCCATCCCAAGCAGTACTGCGGTGTTCGAGGGATTCGGGCTCTTCCACTTGAGCTGTGTTTTAAACGTCTTATATCCGGCACCAACCAAGGCAACGCTTACGCCGCGTCTTACGCGCCTTACTTGACATGACAACTGAGGTTTAAAACGTGGCTCACTTGGTGAATTCTGTCCTAACTGTTAGTCTGCCATGGGGATATAGGATGATTTAGGTCATCTGCACGGTCCAGCTTGGAGGGGCGCAGGTCTTCGGTGCCGCTGGTGGCCATCGGTACAGGACTTCCGTGTGGGCAAGGTGCGTTCTCACAGGAGGAGGGCCCACGTTACTCTGCCTGCGGGGGTGCGATATGTCCACATCACAATATATTGTAAACGTACGAGTCAATGATAACCTGCCCCTCTCTCCAAGAACAACGACAAATATGAACTGTACTACTCATGATGCTCAGGATCCTTTAAACATGCAACTGAGCTGCTTGCTTCCCCCCCCAGTCATTCCCGCACGCATTCCACAGGTTCCCGCCATCGATGTTGGGCTGCTTGATGAGCTCGGCCTCAGGTTCTCTCACCGACGCGGAGCTGGGCGACTCGAGTCGAAGCATGTGGCCTGCAGCTCCAAAAAGGAAAGCGGCGCCCTAATGCTCACATGCCAGAGTTTGGAGTGGATGTATATATATATATATATAGAACATAATTTTGGAAAACCAGCCAAGCGCTCGCATGCCCGCACTAGCGCCCGCACCTTACGATTTCCACCTATTTCTGGTGGCCAATCGGATCTCTCAATTCAGCAAGTGCCATCCAACAACCACACCCTAGGGCTCCAAGTACCTCCTCTGGCACCCACCCCAGTCCCACCTTCTTAGAAGGTACGAAAGAACGTTAAACAAAAACCTCTTCAAACGAACTGGCTTGCACGAACGAGTCCACGGTCTGACCTGGTCCTTCGCCCAGCCACGCAATTCTCGGGGTTCACGCTGCCACCGTATTGGATTCGCACCTGGAGAGCGCCCAGAGACCGGAGAGGAGTGTGAGAGACCGAGAGGCCCGCCCAGGGGGCCCAGGTCGATTAGAGTTGCTTGGAGGCGCTTGGTGTCAACCTTTAGATCTATAAATGATAGGACCGTGCATCCATTTTGTGTGATACAAATGGACTGGAACCTTTGCATACAGGCCGCAGAATACCTTTGCGGACGCCTTTGTATCCTTTGTGAAGGGTTGGTTAAAAAAAAAAAAAAAACTTGTCACACTCTATGGATGCCAAGAATCGTCTAAAAGGACACTTGTCCATGATGGACCATGCTACACCAACCTTGCTTGCTCGGTTCGTTGCTTGCTCAATCTATATAATAATGAAGCGAGGATCGCGTCCTCGCCAAAGGACGGTGCCAGTACCAGTCTCGGCAGGGAGAGCACGTTCAACAGCCCAGTTCAACCTAGTTCACCGATTTTTTGTTCTAGACATGCACACACCAAAACGTACTGTTAATCTGTCAAAGTACCAGGAGCATCCAATCAGTGTCCAATGGGGCCCGTACACATCCCTACACTATTGCCAGGACACACGTTGGGTGCTCCTGGTAGGGACAAGATGAAAAGCAAGTTTGTCGCTATTGCAAGTTTTAGCAAACCTTATGACATTTACCACCACTCCAAACCAAAACAAAACACATCAAACAAAAGCAAACAAGTGCTTTGAACATCTTTTTCAGCCCTGAAAAATCTCAGTTCCTCCCAGTCAGTCCACCAATGTCTTTCAGCGCTTCACCACGCCCCATACGCTGCCCCCTGGTCGAACAACACCCGCCCCGGTGAGGTCCCACCGCACGAGCCTCGCCTTCTCGGCCACGGCGGAACTCACGGCCTCGCCGCACCCGCCGGGAACCGACCGGACCCTGTTGAGGGGGCCGAACCCCCCCCCCCCGATGCTGCTCGCTTAAGCCATCCAAAAGCGGGGATGGCAAACCTCAGGGGCGTGGGATTGGCGAAGCCGCATTCCCCACATCTATGAGGTCTAGATTTGGACATGTGGCTTACGATACGCATGCTTTTTTCTATCTCTCTCTCTCTCTCTCCCCCTCTCTCTCTCTCTCCATGGCGGGTGCAAGAGGCTCCACAGAAGGTCGCGGGTGCAAGCAAGTATATAAATGACATTCGAACATGCTGTTCGAAGTGACATTATGTTACACTGTTCTTAGGCTAAAGTTGTCAGGATGTAAAATCATAGAACATCTATCACAGAACGCCGGCTGCGAGGTGCTTCCAAAAAGGCAACATAGGTCATAGGTTGCTGAAGAAACGTTGAAGGTGTCTCATGATTGCAACCATGCTATCTCAAAGAACCCCATGGATTCAAAACAGCCAAAATGTTGGATCATGGAACATGGATCTGGCCAGGATGCCAACCGTGAGGAGCAACAACATTTTCCTTAGCTTGCAACAACCAGCAGCCGGCCATGATACATGTAATGTGGCTTCTGATGGATTCTGCAAAATATAATCCTCATGACTCCGGTAGTCAGGCGTGGCCTGAGACAGGTAGGCCCGGATCGCCTTCTGCGTCTCCTCCGCCTGAGACGACCAGACACCCTTCAGTGAAGGCGGTTTTTTTTCGCTCACGGCCCACGACCATTTCACTGAGCTGACGACCATGTCCCAAACACTCCATACCCAGACACTCCATGTCTGTCATATATGCCTACATTGGGGTGGTTTTGGGGGTCAATGTAGGCATATATGGCATACATGGAGTGTCTGGGATATATATGCCGATCAGTTGGGGTGGTTTTGGGGATCAATTGATCGGCATTTTTCAGCAGTCCCATGGGTCGTGTCTGGGTGTGTGCCAATGTGCGCCAAACGGCGCGTACCTTGGTCACCAAGAAGGAACATCGGTGGGGTTGGAGGCGGCGAAATCGCGAAACGAAGGGAGGTACCAAAAACGACTGAAGAGCCAACAAGGCCAATGCCTAGCCAAATCCCACCGAAACCCATGGTGCACAGGTGGGCTGTGGGTGATGGCACCGGGATACCTGCTTTGACCCAAGAAGGTCAAGCTACTCAGCTGTGGGTCAAAACTGGGAGATCACTTCACTTCACCCTTGTAGGTTGACCTATTCCGTTCTTCCTCTCGGTTGGAAAAAACGCCATGACCCACGGCCACCCAGCCACCCCGCCCTCGCCTGCTCCGGTGTGGCCACCTTGCCGGTGCCGATGGCCCAAACAGGCTCGTAGGCGATGACCACCTTGTCCCAGTCCTGGTGGGAACTGCATCACACGAGCCCATCTGTTGGATCGCCGGGTGAGCTGGTTGATACTGTGGTTGATATAATGCATACTGTAAACAGTTGATGAATAAACGCACCCCATTTGGATTGAAAACTTCTTCAGGCAGGGGGTTATCAATCAAGTGTCTACGTCGAATGTTTGAGGTATGTTGGCAGTCATCCAGGTTTAATAAAGAAATGATGATACAGGTTAGGGGTGCCCATTATCCAGTCACTTAGGGACTAAACACCACCCCTTTGTGACTGCTGGTAGGCTTATAGGACATGTGACACTGCATGATGTGACACTGCGACACTGCACCCTGTCGGACATGTTTGCTGGTTTTGTCTCCCTGTGACATGCGCCCTGCCTTGATCTTGGGGAGGCATGCCCCCAGTTGCCGCTTGTTCACCTCAGATTCATTTCAGTGTGTAAGGAAAGTGATCCTACGAGGTTGCACCATACTTAACTATGATATGCCCTATATCTTGGTGCCCATCTAAGGGTACACAGTAGGGTTGAACATGTTTCACGGATGATACTTCCCTCATTCCCTGTTTTTTTCCTTCCACGCTTATATATACAGTATATATACATATATATACTATCCTTCACTTGCAAATCACTTGCCATCCACAAAATAGCTGGAAGGCCGTAACGGCGTGCGGCGTTCACCCGTGGCTTCCACCCATGCGTTCCACCCGGGGCTTCGAGCTTCATCGGTCTTGCCGGCCTCTCGCTCCTGCCGCTTGGGGTTTTCTTTCGAAAAGCACCGCTTGGGGTCGGGACCTGCGCCGCTGGGGGGATGCATCGCGGGGGGTCAAAAGCTGGGGACGGTCCAACACCATCAGTACCTTCCAGGGACGGTCAACTGGTGCCAGTGACTCGCAGCCACTGAGTTTTCGAGTTGGTACATGGGAACTTCTGGATGCCGGACCCAAAAGGCTAGCAGAAAGTGTGTGGGCCACGGTGACATGAGGTCTTTTAGCCTCAGAAGAAAAACAAACTCATGGTGAAGCATCTAGAATCTAGAAAAACCTGAAACTTATCACATGCTTCAAAAAAGAACATGACTTCTGTGTCGCACATTCTGAACGACTTCTGTGTTCGTTCGGCCACTCCGCCCCCGTCCGAAAACCACCGGCCGTCCTCCAGCTTTTCGCCGATGCAAAGGATCACGTTGAGCCCAGCGGCTTGGCATTTCTCCACCTGGGACCGAGCCAAACGTCGCGAGTTCGGCCGCCAGGAGGTGCGGAGGTTGGCTGCTTTGGAAAGCTGCAGAGAATGGTATAGCCTATTAATTATATATGATATAAATTAATTGATATAACATGTATTTTCTACATTGATTGGGCTGACCAGGCCGACCGGTGGCACCACAAGAGTCTAAAAACTCCCAACATTTCAAACAAAGAAGGTAGATTCGGTAGATGATGGTAGAATATAAACTCCAAGGTGACCATGTATTTTACAGTAAGTCAATAACTCATCCACCTGCTACTGCTGGGTGCCAAGTCTAGAAACGGTCCCAAGTTCTGCCGGCTGCTCCGCCTTTAGCGCCACATCCTCGTCGGTCTCACCGTAGAGGCTCCGGCGTTCAGAGTGGCCTCGACCATGGGGCCAGTGAAGGGTCACAAAGCCCACTTCTTCCATGTACTTTAAATGCCTAAAATGATTATAAAGAGAAAAAAAGGCAACCTACCCGATGCCTAAACAAGCAAACTCGAAAAGCATGCAATCAACGAACCAAAAAGGCATCCAAAGGTCATAGGAGCAAATGCCTGTAGCAACAGGATGATGTTCAAATCATAGCCGGCAACATCCGGCAACCCACATCATGACGCTACAAAGTCCATCAGTGAGGGATCTCAACAGGAACATGTTTTGAGTGCAAAACAACAGTGGACTTATGAGCATCAGGCTTCAAGTGCTTCCTTCTTAGGCCGCCATGTTTGGTCCCAAACACCACCTCACACCCAGAATGTCCCAGTTGTCAGTACCCACATCCACATCCCAAAGAGCGATCTCCAAAATCTATTTTACAAAGAAGCACTGGAATCAATGTATGTTTTCAGATCAATAGCAATTTAAAGGGTCCAACAATGGTTTCGGATCATGGATCAATATGGATCGTTTTGGATCAGCACAGTGCTAGTAGCGTCCTTGCTCCTAGTAGCTCTTGCAACACTCCATCCTGTTGGACCTCTGTTTCCGGACGCCGTCTGCGCCTAGCAAGGTCCACTGAAGTCCCAAGTCCACCTGGCGAAGGAAGGCGAAACACGGCGACGGCGAAACACGGCGATCCCAACGGCGCTCCCAGGCGGTTCCACGGGAGAGAGGGACTGACCGGGTCTGGAGAATCGACTCCAGAAGAAGTCCCAACTTCAGAAGACCAAAACATTGGTCTCCCAAAGGCCCTAACTTGGGAGACGATGCTGTGGTTATTTTTCTGGCTTCCTCTAGCGCTTTCCTCTTCGTATGTCTTTAGCTGTTCGTTGCAAGGGCAGGAGGCTCACCAATCCACCGATCTCGTGGTTTTGTGAACCATGCCTGAATATGCCGAGTATCTTTACAAATGGACAGAATTGAAAGAATCAAAGCAGCTGGATCGAAAAAGAGCATGCCCAACACTCCATGAGACTGATGAGACTGGAATATCATGGAATATCTACCTGGACCCCAGAAACCATCATCTGACATTGATTTACCTTCACAAAGGCCTTCCGGTCTTCCCATTCCATCGCTCCCTGATCATCTGACATCTCGCCGACATCGACCGTTTGGTCCGACTCCCACGGCCCGGACCAGATTGGCGGCCGTCCACTCGCCGGTGAAGGCACCCGCGTCAGTCCTGGGCGCGAGCGAGCGAAAACGTGCGCACCGTGCGGAACGACCGAGGGAGGAACGAGCCGCGGGAACGAACGTTCGCCGGTGGGGTGCTGATGATGTGCCATGGGAGAATCTTTCACCCTGATGTTCTGATGTTCTGCAGGTTGTTCACTATGGGAGCACAACACACAGGTTAGCTGCTGCGAGCGATAGACTAAACCCATATTTCCGCACAAGCAAATGTGACAGAAACATGTTTAACCAGGTCTTGAACACTTGAGCACCACCTATTTAATTCCCTAGGTTTCCACATATATCCTCAGAAGGTGCTTGGACCCTCCACACCCAAAAACAAGTGTCGGTAGGTGGATCCATAAGGATTACAGTCATTGCAGGTCGCAGTTACTTGAATTCCCATCCAAGGGTTGATTCCTCACAAGAAAGCGAAGCCTCGGGGCGCCGCAGTGAGTCCTAACCTGTGTTCCCCAGTTCCCTCATCCAAGCACTGATGGCCACATCCTTCAGCATGATGAAAGGGTAACATGCTTGAAGGATGTGGCCACTGCCCCATAGATTCCAACATGTAGTCCATGTAGTGACTGCAGTCCATGATTCCTAAGTGACTGATATCATGTAAACGGTGATTCTATGTGATTGTGACAGCCCCCGGGCTAGTGCAGTCTGGATCTCAGTCTAGTGCATCAACCCTACTCGCACAAACGGATGCCATGTTTGGACATGCTTCATTCTGCCAGTTAGAAGGCTGAATCCGCCAACATGCAAGCTGGGTGCCGTCTACCATGAAATGCTCAACCAGGCTTACCTATGTTTACCTCACCTTTCTTGAAACCACTCTGGGGCTTCAGGCTTGCTGCAGTTCTGGGCGCAAACACCCATGCCCAAGCCCTGACAGAACACTACGCAATGGGCCATGCGATGGTTCCACTGTCATCCCACTTGGGCGATGGTTCATGGTCCTTAGGTATCGCTGATTGCTCGGTTTAACTCAGAATCCTCCGGAAAGAAAGCTCCTGAAAAGGGAGTTGTATAATGTTGTATAGATGAGATGAAATCTTCTTGGTTTGTTGTTTCATGTTGTTTGTTTCTTTGGGCCGAAGAAATCCCTCACCAAAACCTTTCTGTGTCAACTATAAGCAATATTTATCGCACATCAACCCCCCATAGTTTGGCACCTAAAGGTTCATTATGGTTCATTATTCAACCACAACGCCCACATGAACAAGGCACCCACTACCCAACTTTGCAACTCTCTGCCGACTATATATCCGCTGCTGAAAGGGAAGACGCATCAATAAGGTAAAATCAATGTACACAGCCAACATCTTCTTTCCGCAATCTAGATACTGTCACTATGTTTTCGCATTCAAGCCTGCAAGTTTTGCAACTCCCTCTCTCTCTATGTTAAGGTGACTTGTACATTCCAAGCGGGTGTCCAGGAATCCCGCACGAACCAACTATAGGAGCCAACCGGGCCAACAAAAAACCACCGGTTCCACTCCACACCGTCTTTCACCGGTCGGTCCCCACGTCTAGATCACACCTCAAAGGTCTCGGTGAAGGAGGTGAGCCACAGAGCGGGGGGGCAAATCACCACCTGTGTGATTCTCCCGGACTGGCGTTGGCGTTGGTGTCGGGGTTTTCCTGTGGGTGTGTGTGTGTATGGGAGGGATGGATGTTGGTGTTTTTTTGGGGGGTGTTTGGTTGGGATGTTCATATGAGAAACATTTCATTGAATGGGGGAGTGTTTCTAATCAAATGAGTATCTTTTGAGGGACGGTATGAAGATCATGGATCAAAGACCGGCAACCAAGCCGCAGTGCAAGCTGCTGGTCCTCCTGCTGGAACTGTGAACGGCACAATTCACAGGCAAAAGGAATATGCACTGCCACTCAAATCTTCAACATCTACATGTGCACACACACACACGGTAATATGTATATATATATATATTATATATACATTAAGAATAAAATCACGATTTGATAGGTGTAAATGATAAACATCGGGTCTGTCCCATTACCAGTAACGGATAGAAATGGTATCGCTTGCAGGCCTTTGCATCTCTATTAAACTTGTGATTTGCTTGTGAGGGCCCCGACGGCTCTGTAGGTTTACTGGGGCCAACCGTGGCAAGTAATCAACATGTTAACATATAGAAAGCTAATTAACCACTAAATCATGGACAAGTCCGACATAAACACATCAGCTAGCACTTTAGCTATATAGAAAGCTGACATCAAAAGGCTAAATCCTCTAGCTAGCACTCTGCCTCAATGAACTAACTTCAGAACCTTTGCCCGGCAAAGCCACCGCTGGCACCGCCGCTGGCACCGCTGACTCCGTCACCGACGATCGCCGTCCACGGCACCTCCACGGCGGATCGGTCCACCATGGGTAAGGACTTCCTTTCAACGGAGTTCCGCGGCGCGGATCCGAAGGAGTTCCGCGCGGAAAGGGGTTCCGAAAAATGAGCGTTCGACGGAAGGAGTGGGAAAGGAGTCCGAGCCAGGCGAAGAAGACTCCCAGATCCAGCTGGGTTGAAGTGTCCCACACGCCGAACAGTGTTTGGTGCTAGGTGGTGCCGCGGTGCCAGGAAAATTCTGGGTACGTGCCGAAGCTACTTAACATGACCGGTACGGGGTCAGGTTGGCCCTTCCAGGGTTCGGGGAACACACCAATCAAACAAATGTGTTTTTTTGTAATAGGACCCGTCACCTGCGGCACCCAAGTGGGATAGTCTCTAGGGTTCTTCAATCTCTGTTGGATTCACAGGGTTCGGACGACTGTTTGGTGGAGAGACGGCATGTCCAAAACCCGGAGATTTGTTCAGCCTTGTCTTTGTCGAGGAGCTCTATTTGTGTCTATTGAGTGGATCCAACAGGAACGGTTCAGAGACATATTCTTTTACACATAGTGCTAACCAGGATCCACTAATCTAGTGGGAATGCTAGACAAACAATGCTCAGTAGGAAGCCAACCAAAGGAAAACGATAAGCTCCTCAATGGGTGCATCTGGACATGTTGACCCTAAAACATCACTGCACAAAGGAACAAAAATATATCGATATGTAGTCTGTAGATAGATAGATAGATAGATAGATAGATAGATAGATAGATAGATAGATAGATAGATAGATAAGATAGATAAGATAGATAAGATGTATAAGATGTATAAGATGTATAAGATGTATAGGATAGATACGATAGATAAGATAGATAAGATAGATAAGATAGATGTATAAGATGTATAAGATGTATAAGATGTATAAGATAGATAAGATAGATAAGATAGATCGTATAGATGGGATAGATAGGATAGATAGATAGATAGATAGATAGATAGATAGGTAGATAGGTAGATAGGTAGATAGGTAGATAGGTAGATAGATAGATTAGATAGATTAGATAGATTAGATAGATAAGATAGATAAGATAGATAAGATAGATAAGATAGATAAGATAGATAAGATAGATAATATAGATTAGATAGATAAGATAGATAAGATAGATAACATAGATAATATAGATAACATAGATAAGATAATATAGATAAACAATATAATATAAACACGATAATATAAACTAGAGAAAAACACAACAAAAATACATAGCTAAATAAATAACTATACACATGACGTTGACAATTGAAAGTCATTGGGGTGCTAGTGTGACAGCATGCGGCCACATGACACGTACATTACATTGGACAACACTGAATTTGTCTTACAATGTCTTACATTCAAAACCTATCCATGGAAATGGCAGCAGGAACCTTGCCCTTTCCCACACCTCACCGACGGCAACATGTAGCGCCAAGGGTCTTCCATCCTCTTAGGAGCTCGTTGCATTCCTGCCAACCAGAATCACCAAGCTCGGATTACATTTCAATTTGGTTCACCAGCTGTTACATTCGGGTTACATTTTGCCCAACTCTCAGGAAAAAAACACATCCGGATCACACAGCGCAAAGTGACACATCAGCGTGGAGAGACCGTGGGAAAGCCGACGTACCCCGAATGATACTTTGGTCTGTGCTTTTCCTTCCCTGAAGAAGTTGAGAGAGACCACTGGCTGAATGAACGTGCTTGTTTGAATGTTTGGCTTTTCGGGGACAGTGAGCCTGCGAAATTGTTGGGCAAAACAGGTGAGTGACCAGGGTCCCGGTCCCACCTCTCCAGGAGATTCTGGATGCTTCTGCCATCTTCTGCCCACAAAAAACATCTGAATTTCCACAAGGGGCCAACCTCTGATCAAGCCAACCAGTCTGGTAATATGGACTGTTGATGAATAGGCCTCCACGGTCCACACATGAACATGTATATAAACCAACCTCTCATATATGAGGGGGTTGATTCATCAACCTTAGGTCATCCCATTCCCAGTAACAACGAATGATGGTGGCTAGGTGGCCTGTATCAATAAGAGACCACCTTGTATCAAAGGTTACTGGTTTGCTGGGACACACTTGATATCACTTGATTAATCAATTGTCGACATTTGCTGGTTATTCTATGTTTTACATGCGACATATTTTTGTCTCTGAAGGCAAATCCATCGCCGCCGTTTTCCAGTTCAGGCTTTGTCTACATTTGCTGCAGCCGTCCTGGATCTTGATCCTTTTTGTTCGATCATTGTTGTGAAACTGTGACCAACGTAGGAATTATATAATGCAACTGTCCTTGTAGGTCTTGGGATTGCATTTCCAGTTTCCACCCACGATGAACTTCCGAGCCTCAGGGCGCGTGCTGTCTGTCCGCGCTGCTAAAACCGGTCACCGCAGTGGAAAAGCCGTGGTGACCGTGGTGGTGGTCGTTGTGACGCAAACGTTGTAACCGATCCTGTTTTGCTGCTTGCCCAGAATGGCGTTCAAAGGAACAACTCACTCGCGAGATCATCTTGAAACACAAAGCCGCTTGGGCCAGGAGGTCTGCTGATACGGGGGCTCCTAGTAGCGATGGCCTCCACCTAGTAGCTTCTTGCTACTATAAGTTCTAAGTCTCCTGATACTGCTTCATCCAATCGTCTCACGCCACTTGCCGCCCACGCCCCGAGTGCCACACCATTGGGGCCGAGTCGGATGCGGATAAAACGGCCGCCTGCGGCAGCGAACGTCGTGGTATAGACGACGGTCTCGATGGGTGGAACTTGAGAGACCTTGGCCAAGTTCTTTGAGCAATTTATAGACCATCAAAACCTCAATCTTCTCATCTTCCCCCATCACGCAAACGGAACACCAACAACATGATTCTCTTGCTTTCGGTGGACCGCTCCAGTGTGCAAGTATGCCAAGCGTTTTTGTGTTTGGCCACGTGTTCCATGTCCAAAGGACCTGTTCGGATGGTTTTGGTTGGCTTCGCCGGGGTCATTTCCAGCTGCATGCGGTCCACCCCCCTCCTCTGCCTCCCCCGTGAGGTCCCATGAGTGCCAAAGGGGTCAGTGCGTCGAAGGGTAGCTCGAAAGCCCGGAACCCGGGCTGATCCGCTCGTCGCGGAAAGAGGAGCGGAAGAACTCTAAGGGATTTTTCATTTGGAAAGGGTTCTCAGGGGTCAAACCCATGCTATGGAGGGTCTAAGGGCTCCCTGGGAGTCAAAGACTACAAAAAAATAGCTCTGACTGGAGGACCAGAAAGTAAGTTCCCTTTACTTCACTGAGGCAAGATCATAGGGTCTTTCGACTTCTAAGGTGTAGACGGTCAACGGTATTATATCATGTATACATACATACATGCATAGAAAACAAATACAAAGAATGTAGAACAACCCTACGGCTCCACATCCGAAGTCCAAGGTGGACTGGGGGGTTGGTTTTGGGGGATCAGTCCCTCCTTGCAGTGTTCTGGAGACAGGGGGGTCTTATTCATCAACAGATTGCATGGAACTTGCAAAAAAAAACATCCGAGATCCTCCGAGCAACAGTTCCAACCCCAAATGGAGGGTGTAACCTGACAGTCTTTGCATCAATACCCAATGTCTTTCCCATGCGCCGCCTCGCAGAATGCTTCAGCAAAGCAGGCTTGAGCCGCCGACGGGCAAAGCAGGGCGCGCTTCTTCTTCGACTTGCAAACAGCCATTGGCTAAACCATCTGAAACACAACCTTTTTTGATCTTTTTTGTAGTGGTTCTCTCTTCCCCTTTTTTGTTTCTCTCTCTCTCTCTCACCTTCAAACCGATATTCCTGCCCCAGCTAGGTTAGGGGGCTTTCGATGCTTTCTTCTAGTGGTGGGACTGAGGTACATTTACAGAGTTGTATATATTAGCAAAAGTAACTTCAAGCGTATGGGACACCAGCAAGAATTGTGGATCTCCCCATCACATACACATCCCGGCGAGTGCTTCAGTCTGCGTTCAAGTCAACACACAATGCACACTTGACTTGTGTTGGTTCCTTCACACGGGTTGCCTATATATGATTGCCAACCACTGATACGTAAAACGTGTGGTGTCAAATCGATGGATACCAGGTATACAGGACTGCGCAGCACTGACAGGACTGCGTTGCTCGTCACAAAAAAGGACTACATCCCATGTTCCTCTATCTCACGCCCAACTTCGGTAGTTCATCCTCCGAACAGCTTCCATGTCAGGCTAACTTTGGTCGGTCAGTAAGAGTTCCAAAGAATTTGGATCTTAAATCTGCATATGTCCTCTGTTCGAAGCTTCACAGGTAAGGCCACGAATGCATGGGTCAACACTAAATCACTACAGTAATTATATACATATATATTATATATATACAGTATATCAAACAAACAGCAAGCAAGTATAAGCAAGCTCCAATTCTTCAAATGGAATCAACCTGTTCAATGAACCACTGTGCTGCCTTTCATCACGATGACGCTCTCGCGGCTTAGTGACATGGCGCAAGAAACGAAGGGTGAGACAGCTACCAGCATGAGTCTCTTCATCAATGAGATCGGGCCCACCACCTGAAACTTCGAACAACTCTTGCTCTACGATCTTTATCAGGATTCGTGGATCCACCTTGCATTGCCGGAATGCTATAAGAAATCTCTGCAAGCTCTGAGGCACATTGAACTGCCCGACTGGCGCTTGAAATCTAGATGATAGATGGATGATCTGCTTGGAACCCAAACGATTCTCCCTGTCAAACTCTGTCATATGAATCCTAGAAGCGAAGCCACCAGCGACTTCTGACCACCAACCACCCACCCAAAATCTGGAGCAAAGATCTGCCCTATCTGCGAAGCTCTCGACTCCAAACACTCTGAGCTGCTCCGAACCTCTCAGCGTACCCTTTTTGGCCTTCCAAAGACCGCCTTCACATCATATCAACGTCCTGGTGTAGAACCCTCAGTCAATCCATATAGTTCTTCTTTTTGGGGCCTAGCCTGCCTAGCCTATTTCCATTCATGCTGCTTGGAATCCCCCCAAAACTGGGGGAGTTTCCGTCCCAACGCTCGCCTCACTCGGAGTCCGTCTCGTAGACCGGCGCATCCAGTACCACGTCGGAGAAGTCGGTGCGCCAAGCGTCAGTGCCCACCTGCCGCCGGTGTCTCGACCGGTCTAGCGCTCGAAGCGGAGGGGAGGGGAGGATGGATAGACTTATACACCATCCATATAGAAGGGTGCTGTGTGCCAATGGTGTAAGTAATAAGTGGCTTCTGGACGTATGCGCAAGCTGCTGGACGTCTCACTTTCAAGCGTTGGACTGTGTGCCAGTCATGAGAATCATCAGTGATCATCAGGAAACCCTGCGCACACTGCACCAGGACCAGGTTCAAATCGCTGTGCAAGGCAGCTGCAATCTCTTTGTTGGCCATGCCCGCCGACCCCAGCAAGAGCGAAGTGTTTGTTGGAGTCAGCTTGGACGCAAACAAATACCAAACCCTATATATAGCAAATCAAGTGGATCAATTAATTAATTGTATCTGATCTGCATGTAAATTCTCTTGTGCCAAATTGACTCATGTGACATATGCAAATGTCTTTGCCATTGTTCCCTTTTCATCACAAGGGACGTTTAGTTGTTGATGAGGGATCGAGGGGTTGAGCGCGTACGTAGTCGAGTGCGTACGCAGTAGACTTGTGCCTGTTAGAGGTGGACACTGACAGGCGGTGTCTTCTCTGAAGCAGAAGAGGTGGTGAGCGGTGAGAGTTCAATGCTTTCCGTGTTGATGAGGCACCAAGAATCCCCCGTGTTAATGAGGCTGCCACGGATTTCTTGTTTGTGCCATTGCATGGAGTACTTCTTTTGGGAGCTTCCAGTCCATGTGATCAAAGCTGGCCAAAAAGAATCTGCTTCCAGGATTCCACAGGAGATTCGTCATCGTCAAAGGGTTTGAGGGCATCTCGAAATAGCAATGTATACGTGATGACCCCGAACATCTTGATTTAGATTACACACTTTTATACAAAACTTCAGCTTCTTATCCATAGCTCGACATCGCCCACCTCGAAGTGGCTCTCCACTGGCTCCTTCCTCACCACTTCTTCCACCACATCCTTCCGGCGGCGTCGCGGCGAGGGCGGAATCGCGCCCCACCACTCAAAGCGAGAACGTCCAGTGACTGCCACAGCAGCGTGGCGTAGATAGCAACATCCCCAAGTTAGTTGGTTTAAATGGATCCCCATATTAAAAAAATGACAACAAACACATCTTGGGGTGCCCGTGCCATCTACGCTGAAACCACTGTATAGGAAGCCAGGCTTTTGAGGCTGTACATGCAAAGAGCTTTCTGAACATCTGAGGACGACAAGTGGCGCGCGTACCGTTTTGCAGCAAGGCCTTTGGAATGGTTCCGTTTGTTGGGGAAACACATCACCGGGTGCACCTTTGAGAAGATCATGTTTGGGTGCAAAGGCATGTGGGAAGTCGTCCCCTTGAGGGTTCCTTACTAAGCTTCGCCAAAGCGGCTCACCTGAGATGGTTTTTGGGTGGGTGCCAGGGGGGGTTATATAACCACCTGCTGAAACATATTTGTGGGTTTGGTGGACCAATGTGAACCCAATGAACACCGCCTTCTCAAACACTGACGGAGCTGGAGGCAGCGCTGGACAGATCGAACAAAATGAAGCAAAAGACACACTAAGCTTAAGCTCGCCTTGGCCGTATTTTTGAGGCTACCCCATGTCTATGGTGTTTAATTGTTTTGTTGGGTGCAAGATGGTGCAAGTGACCTGAACCCTTTTTCCGTTTGTGGCGCAAGTCTCCACAAGAAGCTTGCAAGTAAATAGCAGTAGGTTTGCGCTACCGATCCGGTGCGGTTGGATTCTGCCGTGTGTTCACTCATGCCCCTCTAAGCCTAGCTGCCTGGCCCCAAATAACGTTAACCATTGTGATCAATTGTGCAAGGAAAAGCTGGGCCAGGCTGGCATGTTTTTTCAATATCCACGTTGCAATTCCGAAAGCCCCTGGAAGCGGAATAATATGCATGAGTGTCCTACCGAATATCATCCATGTGATTCAACCAGCATTGTGATAGTGTTGACAACAGTTTCGCATTTTCAACACTTTACCCATATTCTCCGCAGTTCCAGGGGAAATAATTGATACTCGGAAAATTTCGGAAATTATATCATGGATCTTCCAGCTCCAAAGCCCCGCCTCCAAACCACCTACACAACCACACACACTCTGGTCGTCACGTTTGGAAGTGGATGGCACCATCTATGGCACCACCGCACCACCTGTTGGGGGATGAAACATGGATCATCTTATTCGTCATGTTACATCCAAACCAAAGTAACCATGTTTGTACATTTCAGGACAGTCGAAGTACCCCAACAAAAACACTGCCCGTGCTTCTAAAAACCATGGCTTCAACGTAACATCCCCCCCAGCCCTGCATATACTTTACAGCCATCGCGACCCGCTGGAAGAAAGGACATAGACCAAAGACCATTTTGGGCCAGGGGGCTCCCTATTACACACCCCAATGAATTCCCTAAAAACACCGTTGGATCTCTGAGACTGCTTCCTGTGATCTCCGGAAACGCCGCACTCGCTCCGTCTGTCTCGCTCCTGGGGCCGCTGCACCAGCGGGTCCTTGGGGGGGAACTCCGGCGACAGGTGCGGGTGCCTCGGTGTGACCAGGACCGGTGCCTAGCGGAGACCCATCAGGTAGGGCGCGGAGACCCAGTGGAGCTGGTGCTGGTAGACTGGTGGACAGGTGGACAACACATGGACAAACATGGGAGAGTGACACTTTGGTGGTACCTGCGCAGAGTCGGTGAAGTAATTACATCGAAGTGGATGGCATGGCCCTAACAGGATGAGCTTGTACTCCGGACCCTGAGGCAAGTCACGCTGTTATGATATCCAGTTTTCCGAGATCCAACATGATCCAACCACATCCCCAGGAGGTAGGGGACGTCCCCTAAACCACCCACAGGAGTCCCACCTTCGACTTGGGAGATGGTTTGGAGTCCCTCCTTAGGCCAGGTGCCCGTTGATGCAAAAGTTCTTCCACTGTGTCAAAGCCCCAAGTGTGGTGGCTCGGGCATCCAATAGCCCATGCTCCAAGAGGCTCGTCCCTAGCTAATGATCAATTCCAGGTTTGCCAAAGGCAAACAAATTTGATGAAACGAATACCAAAACATCTTCACCAATGTGTGAAACCGTGACAATGTCCAGACTGTGACTAGGCAGCACTTGCCTGCATGGCAATCTTGCTTTTGGCAACTAGACGTCCCACCCAAAGCAGGGACCTTGGGCGGGAG